GACGAAATTGAACAAGAATGGCGAAAGAGGGCACCGTTGACGAACACTGCTGCTAGTTACGAACGATCTACTCAGCTCGCCGTAGACCCTCACTCTAACAGAAGTATGTGAGTAGAGTGAACTCAATATATTCACATACTTCTGCGGCATTCCTTTGCGAAGAAGTGAACCCATAAGGGATTCACGATCAACTGAGTCAAAGACTCCTTTCAGGTCAAGGAACACGACAGCCGTTGGTCGACGGTGCGTATGGTGTAGCTCGAGAACTTGACGCAGGGTGAAGATTCGAGTGATACAAATGTGCGACAATGAGAGTACCAGACTGAGTGAGTGCACAAGTAAACGCTATGTGAAGCAGTGACTACCATAAAACAGTATGTCAAACTGTTTAAGATATGATGCAAGGAAGTCGAATGAAGAAGACACTCGGCGGAATACCAAGCGAAATTGTTATATTCTGAGCGGGATCCACGGATGGCGGGAAAATGAGAATCGCAGCTGCCTTAACAGAGTGAAAGGTGACGGCTTCTGGTCAGGAAAGCAGAAACAGTGTCCAAGGCATTCAGCCCTGATGCAACTCGCCCTTTAATCCTTAGTAAGATGGCTGTGTTTAGGACAATCCGGGGCTTCGGACTATTACACTGGTACTATCTGTGAGGCGACCACGATACTTATGACAGCATGCGGTACAACAGCAGTGAACTGAACTGGTGAAAAAGTCACGCACCAGAAGGGTTGGTATTTGATGACGGTAAATTCCATTCAAGTTCATTGATGTTACGTGTTAGTATAACGGTAGTACGGCGAAAAATATTTAAAATTTTGTTTTCTTGAATATCCATTCCAGGAAAAAACCATTCAAGTAGCATATGGCTTCTACCGAATATGAACCCCCAAAAGAGAGAACACTTCAATAAAGCATTTACAGCGGAGTCTGATATACAGGGAATGATGACAAACTCGAAGCTTCCAGAAACCCAACAGCAGCCATTTGTTGATGTGCCTTCGTAGCTCAGCTGATAGAGCGTGCGCTGTACAAAAGCGTAGGCTGCGTCTATGCGTGGTTTCGAATCTCACCGAGACTACTGAGCTTTTCACAATCCACATACAAAATTCATATATTCCAAACAAAAATTGGAACAATACACGAAGTAACGTATACCGATCCGTCACCCGTCGACACAACACCTCTCTAAACCTGCTCAAACGGGGAAAATACTGCCAGTTGACATCAGACGTCCATCTGAAACAGAGGTTACCTGGAAAATCACTCATCTCAAAAGGCATAAGGCCTCCGACCCACACGGGCTCTGCCCATTGGTTTTTAAGGATGAAGATTTAGCCTTGGTTTCGGAGTTAACGAAACTCCTAGGCTCAGTGTGGGAGAGGGAAGAGGTTTCAAATGAATGGTGCAAATCGGTGGCCATACCGATTCTAAAGAAAGACGACAGATCCTCTTGTGAAAATCACAGAGGAATTAGTTTAATCAACATCGTCTGTGAACTTCTCGCTGGTATCATACTCCGTCGAGCGTCTGCTGCACATGAACGGTGTACGCATGAGAATCAGGCTGGTTTCAGACCTGATTGAAGTTGTATCGACCACATCTTCACTCTTCGTCAAATTCTAGAACACATACACTCCTTTCGTAGACCCAACATTTCTATCTTCCTGGATCTGACTCGGTCGACCGATCAAAACTGTGACGCTACCTGGCTCTGAAGAGTATGCCTGAGAAAATTATTTCAATTTTGCCATCTATTTATACTAACAGCCGAAGCCGCGTCCTAGTTTACGGCACTTTTTCACCAGAGTTTGCTACAGAAAGTGATGTGCATCAGGGTTAGCCCATCTCTAGATTTCTATTCAACTTTGTCATAGATTTGCTGCCAGATGGTAGACTGTCTGATTCGGAATATGCAGACAACATTGTACTGGTAAGCAAATATTCAGATAAGTTGACAACTTTGGAGAGTTTGAGTGCTAATGTATCTATATCCGGTATGCAATTAGCACCTTTAAAGTGTAAAATGCTACCACAAGACTGAGTTGACCCAGCAGCCAATGTCACTCTATTAGGGAACGTAGTCGAAGTAGATAAATTTTGCGAGTCACCAATTAGTTTGCCACGGTGAGCGATATTTGCAGGCAGCGGTTAGAAAAAGGTCAAGGGCGGTCCAACGAAGACCGGATTATCAAAACCCTAAACAAGAGACTTGGTCACATAGGTTGGGACATGTGCTACGCATGTCATCAGATAGGTTGCCACGGCGACCGAGGCTTGGCGAAGCAGGTAGCGGTTGGACAATAATGAAGGGCGGGCAAGCTAAGACCAGGAGACTGGCTCACATAGGTCCGGTTAGGCTCCCTGGCTGGGGACCCCGAGATCATGGTCACCGATGGTTGGAGACACTCAGCGATGAGGCTAGGTGTCGCAAACAGTGGTGCTCATGCATCTTATCATTATTCTATGAAAATGTACTACCTTTCGCTTAAATCTGCTCTCAACATTCTAATCATCATTCTGCTATTTTATCCAAATTGGCAACCAAAACCGGCGCACGAAAGTGCATGGTTAATGGTTGTAAAAACTGAACTGGTTAGGAAAACCCTAAATAAGAGACTCGGTCACATAGGTTCCGTTGGGCTTCTTGGATGAGGACACCGAGATCATGGAAACCGGTGGTTAAAGACCCTGAGTGATATGGTTTTGTGTCACAAACAGTGGCACTCATTCACCTACTCAATATTCTTACAATCCCAGTCTATATGAATTCTCTATTTTTTCTTCCACCTTGCTCTCAACACTCCAATCTTCATTCCGCTGTTTTATCCAAGTAGGCAGCCAAAAGACAGCAACCGAAACCAGCGCGTGAAAATGCACGATTACTGGTTGTGAAAACCAGAAAAAAACCGGATCGATCCATCAAAATAGTGCTCCGGAAAGACCTAATTGGTTAAAGAAATTGAGAGATCGGTTCCGCTGAGCATATGGCTCCGAGAAGAACGTTTAGTTGGCAAGCGCTTTTCTTCCTCGTGTCAACCGTCGGTAAAAATGGTGCAAGATAAACGATGAGAAACGAAGAAGCCGTTATTTTATTCTGATTTATTCGGGTATCAAAAAAAAAAAAAACAAACACGTGAGCATCGTTTACGACGGACTTACTTTGTATTCAATAAAATAGTGTGTAATCTTTGTCGTCTTTCCACTGGCATCGGTCTCCAATTGTAACTTTGATTTAATAAACTGATCTTGTTTCAAAGTGCGCAAATACTGTCGCAATTGTTTCTCCTCGAATCGCAAACGTTCGCATAAATCGTTCTCTTTCATGATTGTGTTACGCACCTGAAGCAGCAAGGTGTGTATGTGGGGAGGGGGGAGGAGAGGGAGCGAGGCGAGACAAAGTCACATGTCAGTCAGTCGAATAGGAAAGAATCACAATTTTCACTGGAAAGAAACGGGAAGATGATACGCCAAAAGCAGGGCTACTGAGATCATTGCTGTTGTTGTTGTTTCGCGTCAAATGATCCGTCATAAACGATGCTTGGAAATTGTATAGGCCGGTGAAAAGAAAAGAGGTACAAACACGCCGTGGATCACGAGATTTTAATTGAGCACCTATTGAAATCTCGCGAGAAACCGTCACGTGAGGTATAGCACAAACCAACGAGTTGGGAAAATTCCGGTAGTGCGGTTAGAGCATGCACAAAGAAATAGGGTGACGGAATACAAGAGTAATTTACCGCACTACCTATTAAGTCCTTCGAATTCACTTTGTGAATGCTACCTCGTTGGTTTCGCTGATGCAATGAGCATCGGGGTATCAAAGTTCGAAGATAGCTAGCATAAAAGTGAGCAACAAAACGGGGAGGTGGGAGGGGATCGAATTCACTTAATCTGCTGTTGAAGAGAACATGAAATCGGTATTTAATACTATAATCAAAAATAGGGTGGTCTTAACTACAGTTTTTATAGTGAACTGATAATAGTACAATGGAATGATTGCAAAGAGAATTATTCTTTCGTCATGCCGGGAAGAGGGGCAGCGAGGATGGGCTTTGAACACATTCCTACTGGGTCGATATCCATTACCGCTTGGTGTTAGACTGACTGAGCCCTATATGATTTAACACACCATGGCATTCAAATACCGTTTATCTTGATAAACCTTATTTGTCTGTAACGGTAGAATCACCTTGACCTTTTTGAAATCACTGAGACGGTACAAAGAACTGGCCTACAAATCTCGTCTTGCCTCACTTCTAAAGCACTATTCTGAGTTAATCAGGTCCGAGATAACGTACCTCAATGCCATCTTCGCTGCCCAAATTCTGCGAACAAAGAACACCAGGCTCTTATGGCAAGGTATTGGCCTTCTCTGTGGGCAGAACAGAAAACACTCTAATACCTCTGTGGATGTCAACAGCCTCAACGCCGCTTTCATCCACCCGTCAAACGAGAGCCAGATTCCCTCATTCCTATGCAATGAATCCACTTCAGTGCCTTTTTTCAATGATTTAATCTTTAGGTTTCTTCGATCCTGCAAAGCATCCTCAGCTGCAGGCCCTGAGGTCTTCCTCCGGCACTTCTGAAATTTGGAGCAGCTTCCCTAACCAATATGATGAAATCCATTGCCAATGAGTCCCTATCTTCCCGGTCGATTCCTCATTCTTGGCGTCCAGTGACCATTATTCCGATCCCCAAATCCACGTCCTCAACTGTTCTTCGAAACGGTTTCGTCCTATCGCGTTGACCTCAGCCGCTCTAAAGGTAACTGGAAAAGCCATCCTGAGTCGGTTGCAGTCAGACACTACAATTCCCCATGACCCCCTTCAGTTTGAATACAAACCAAACAGATCTACATTGGACGCCGTATCCACTCTAGTGCATTTTATCAGCAAGTCACTGAACCATTCGGTCAAGTCTTCCGTTGTGTTTTTCTTGACTATTCGTCAGCGTTTGATTCTGTTTCCCGATCATCTCTTCTTTCCAAACTTGAATCTTTTGGCACTCCAAAACAGCTGCTCTCATGGCTTGTCGACTATTTCACACAGCGAGTCCAGTGCACCAAATTAATCAGTCGTGCATCACTAATCCCAATTGATTTATTAATCACAGATCTCATTGATGGTCACATCAACTCTTGTTTTAAATTTGCTCACACGATTCTAGACGACCGTCTTCATCCACTACACCCTAATCTATTGTCTTGTTGTTCCCATCCGTCCACACGCTTCTCATTTCGACAACTACCCTCTCGCATTAACATTTATAAAAATTCCCCTGTACCCTACCTGGCCCGACTACTTACCAAAAAGGAACAGGTATCAAATGAACTAAGTAAAATG